ATATACCATCAGGTCGGTGTTAATTCTTGGCAATCCCGTAAATAGACCTTCAGTAAAACACACACATACAGAATTTAAAACACACCAATAAAATTTAAAATACAGAACAAAGAAACCCTTAAGACAATAACAAGAAGAGGATACCACCTGGCTTCTGCAAGCCATAGCTATTGCAAGAAACTTGGCAACTTTTGTAGTGGTTGTCCAAGTTAGGTCTTCCAGAAAGAAGATAATTTCTTGATCAGAGTTTAATTAAGGCTTTGTCTGGGCCACGAGACCATACCCTCTGGAGTGAAATGCCACAGTATATTAGATCTGAATCAATATGCCTTCTCATAGATGAGGAAAACCTAACCAGTAGAGTGAGGTGAACCAGAGACTCACCCCAATGGATTTGTTTCAGCCAAAACCTGAGACAACAAATTCTCAGGTGGGCCCCAAGAGAAATGCAGCCTAGCCAAGCAAGGGTATTCAAAGTTGAGTGTGGGACACGGACAACAGCTTTCAGAAACTTAGAGTGAATGGCTTCTAAAGTTCAGGCATCCTTAGAAACAGAGAATTGTGCACCGCATAACAGCAAGCACAAGACCTTTGTTTTTTACCGCTGCAGGGACCAGCATATTTTAAGATCGCATTAGAAACTTTTTGAGCTCTAATAGCAAGTTCATTCAGTTGGTTGTTCCAGGGGGTAGAAAGTTAAAAGTGGATGCCTAGGTACTTAAAGTCCTTGACCCGATCAATTGGTTAATTTTCCATTTAACATGGGACTTAAGGTGCATTCTAGAGAGAACTAAAACTTTAGTTTTGGAGTAGTTGATTTCAAGAAATTCCCTAGAACAGGACACTACAGCAGCTAGGCATCTACGAAGGTCCACTTGTGTTACAGGTAAGATGGTTGCATCATCTGCATACAGGAGGATTGAAACAGGATGGTGGGCAAATGTTGGGGGTGGAATTCTGGTCACAACAATGTCATTTATTTAAAAGTTAATTAGGGGGCAAGAATACAGCCGTTTGACCCCTTTGAGGATAGGGATGGTTAAACTGCCATTACAACTGCCTCTAATCTGTTGCAGTATTTTGATGTAGCAAAATTATCAATCTGAGAAGGTGATGATCAATGGATGTTGCAGTTAATTTCCTCATAGACTCTCACGGGGACTTGGTCAAAGGCTGCCTTAAATCAACAAAAGCAGCACTGGGCTAGGAATATTTTTCAGCTAAATGATGCAGAATTGCACACTGATCCATGGTGGAATATCCTGATCTAAAGTGTGCTTGTTTGGGGGCTAAGATATTCTCTGGATACAAGCAGTCTATAAAAGTTTATGGTATAAAAACTGAGCAGTTTACTGATAACTGACATTAAGTTAATTGGGCGATAGCTGATTTTATCTATTACCTTTCTTGTATAATGGAAGTGTAGAATCAACCCATTTGATGGGGAGCGATAGGTTATTAATGGCAGTAAATGGGGGGGGGCTAACAGAGGCTTACCAATCAGGATTTGTTTTCAACCATTTTGGCATAATCATATCTTTACCTGGGAAAACTGGAGAAATCGGTTTTTGGATTTCTAATTGTGTGAGACTGGGGGCCGATCTGGGTATGGATCAGATATTTGGGGGGGGGAAGAGAATTACCACTAAAGGGAGCACTGAATAAGTTACCAAAGTATTTTATCTGGGATTCTAAAGATATTACATCATTAGCACTGGGGCTAGGTTTATCTGAAGAGCATGAAATAAGATGCCATAACAGACAACCATCCTTATTTGTTACTGCCTGTTGAAACCCTATCTCACTAATGAATAGTTTTGCTTTTTTTCTCTCAGGAGCTTTTTATAATTCTTTTTTTTTAGTACCAGAAATGTTTCACAATAGGGAGAATCATTATGGAACTGGGCATTTCCATAAGCTGAGGTTACCATAATCTTGGCTCGAACACAATCCTTATCAAACCAAGGTTTGGAGTGCTTATTTGAACAGTATGAATTGGAGTTTGATTAGACTAAACTGTTCTGAGGTAAGTGTGGGTCTTCCGGGCTGTGTGGCTGTGGTCTTGAA